CTCAAAGCCCATCTCATTCCAGCCCTCTCTGGTCAGATGCTGCCTGAGCATCCTTGGGTTGTGTTGTTTTATAGGTTGTTCTGTGTCTGGCCCAAAGTTGCTGATAAGTTTATCTGGATTTAAATGTATTTTATTATAGAATCAAAGAATGGTTTGGGTTGGAAGGGACCTCAAAGCCCATCTCATTCCAGCCCTCTCTGGTCAGATGCTGCCTGAGCATCCTTGGGTTGTGTTATTTTATAGCTAGTTCTGTGTCTGGCTAAAAGTTGGTGATACTTTTAAATCCAGATAAACTTTTTTTATTATAGAATCAAAGAATGGGTTGGGTTGGAAGGGACCTTAAAGTCCATATTGTTCCAACCCCAGACACCTCCCACTAGCCCAGGTTGCTCCAACCTGGCCTTGGACACTTTCAGGGATCCAGGAGCAGCCACAGCTTCTCTGGGAATTCCATCCCAGCCCCTCACCACCTTCACAGCCAAGAACTCCTTCCCAATATCCCATCTAGCCAAGAACTCCTTCCCAATATCCCATCTAGCCAAGAACTCCTTCCCAATATCCCATCTAGCCAAGAACTCCTTCCCAATATCCCATCTATCCCTGCCCTCCTTTAATTTACAGCCATTCCCCTCCTCCTGTCCCTCCTTGTTCCACATCCTTCTCCAGATCTCCTGGAGCCCCTTTTAGGTACTGAAAGGTGCTCTAAGGTCATACCAAGAGTAACAATACCAGAATGGTGCCATCAACCATCTCGCCTCCTTTCTGTTGTGCCATTTTCCAAGCGAATCCTTTCCCGTTATATCCTGCTGGGGAAACCTCCTGGCTCATCTGCAAATATTCTTCTGCTTTATGTCATTTAAATCCCAACTTGGACTCCCTCAGCCTGTCACAACCAGGTGATTTTGGCCCCGTTTTGGCTTTGGGTGTTGTTAAAATGTGCAGTTTTCCATCTGCTCCCCCATTAACGTGGTTTTCCGCTGCAGTGTGTGTTTACATTGAAAAGGCAGACACCTCGTGCTGAATTTTTCAAATCCTGCAGTAATTCAGGTTATTTTAGGCCCCTGTTTTCACAACCAAACGGGAAAAAAACCCCTTTCCTGCATCACATTCACTCGGTTGGGTTAAATAAATAAAATCTCTGTGGTTTGCGTGGTCCGAGAATGCAATAAATGAATATTTTCTTCTTTGTGACTGACGTGGCCAGCGGGAAATATTCCTTGAAAGGTTTCCATCAGGTTATTTTCCCTTGATTTTACAAGTCACCCCCACTCCCTGTTTACAGGGACAAATTACCACCTGGACCCTGAAGGCTGAACCACCTCATAAAGATCTTTTTCTTCGCTCGTGCATTAACACATTACACGGACTTGGAGCTGTTTTCCAGGACTTGGAGCTGTTTTCCAGGACTGGACCTGCCAGTTTGGCTTTCAGTTTCCATGGAAAACAGGATTTTGAAGCAGTTGAAGAAAACATGTGAGCTTAATATGAAGAAACGCGGCCCAGAATCCACGGGATGGCAGAAAAATGGGAAAAATCGATCGAGCCGCTGGATTAATTAATGGAGTCCTGCTGTGTCCTGCGTTTGAAGGGTGTGGAAGATCCCAACCTAACGATTCCCATTTGGATTTTCCCAGGTTTCTACATGTACATCGAGACGTCCCGGCCCAGGCTGGAGGGGGAGAAGGCCAGACTGGTCAGTCCCGTGTTCAGCGTCGCTCCCAAAAATCCCTACGGAGCCACCAACACGGCCTATTGCTTCAGCTTCTACTATCACATGTATGGACAGCACATAGGTGAGAGAAAGCCAGGGGGACCTCTGGGGGAGAGGCTTTTGGGGGGAAAACGGCAGGAAAAGTGGCCTCTGGGGCGAAGGAAAAGCAGGGGAGGACTCCTGGCACCTTCCAGGGCCAGTTACAACCTAAATGAGGGACCTGAGAGCATCCAAATTGGTGCAAAATTCCAGTTCCGGGTGATTAGGAACTCACAGGAGCCCCTCTTATATCTGGGAATGTTTTCCTACATGAATGAGGTTTTGAACAGGGAATTTTCCATATAGTTAAAAAAATCCCAATTTCCACTGATCAGGAATTCACAGGAATCCCTCTTATATCTGGGAAGAGTTTTCTGCATAAATGAGGTTTTAAACAGGGAATATTCCAAATTATTGCAAAATTTCAATTTCCACTGATCATGAATGCACAGGAGCCCCTCTGACAGCTGGGAAGAGTTTCCTGCATGAGTGAGGTTTTAAACAGGGAATTTTGCAATAATATGGAAAATTCCAATTTCCAAATTATTGCAAATTTCCAATTTCCACTAATCATGAACCCATAGGAACCCCTCTTATATCTGGGAAGAGTTTCCTACATGAATGAGGTTTTGAACAGGGAATATTTCATATGGTTACAAAATCCCAGTTTCCACTGATCAGGAACTCACAAGAGCCCCTCTTATATCTGGGAAGTGTTTCCTGCCTGACTGAATTTTTAAACAGGGAATTTTCCATATTATTGCAAAACTCCAATTTCCAAATTATTGCAAAATTCCAATTTCCACTGATCAGGAACTCACAGGAGCCCCTCTGACAGCTGGGAAGAGTTTCCTGCCTGACTGAGGTTTTAAACAGGGAATTTTGCAATAATATGGAAAATTCCAATTTCCAAATTGTTACAAAATTCCAATTCCCACTGATCATGAACCCCTAGGAACCCCTCTTATATCTGGGAAGCGTTTCCTGCCTGACTGAGGTTTTAAACAGGGAATTTTCCAAATTATTGCAAAATTCCAATTTCAACTGCTCAGGAACCCATAGGAACCCCTCCTATATCTGGGAAGCATTTCATACATGACTGAGGTTTTAAACAGGGAATATTCCAAATTGTTGCAAAGTTCCAATTTCCAAATTATTACAAAATTCCAATTCCCACTGATCATGAACTCACAGGAGCCCCTCTTACAGCTGGTAAGTGTGTCCTGCATAAATGAGATTTTGACTGGGGAATATTCCAAATTATTGCAAAATTCCAATTTCTAAATTATTACAAAATTCCTATTTCCACTGATCAGGATCCCACAGGAGCCCCTCTTATATCTTGGATTAATTCCCTGCAAGACTCAGCTTTTGAGCAGGGAATTTTAGAGCCTGAAAAGCCAAAACTTGATATTAACAAGGATTTTTCTTACTGTAAAGGAGCGTTTCGAGTCATTCCTGCCTAAATTCGGGATGGGGGAGGCAGCAGCAGCAATTCCTCATGTGTCTGATGCAGCAGCACATCTTCCTTTGTACAAGTCAGGAACAATTTGCTCCCAAGCCATAGAAATCCGTGTTTTCAAGGGATATCTCTAAGTCTATTTTTAGCCCCAGCTCTTCCAACAGGCAGCTGTAATTTCTTCCCGTGGTCTGACAGCAAAAAATTTTAAAAAAAATATAAAAAATCTGAAGCTCAGACAACCAATTTTTTCCCAAGTCCTCAAAATCCCCGCGGGGCACTCGGTGCATCAGGAGCTTTTCCAGGGTCGAGCTGGCCCGACTGGGTGTGTTTTTATCTAAATTTCAAGGGCAAACTCATTTCAAATTTCAAACTCATCCTCCCAGCGCGGTCTGGTGGCGGTTTTGTCAAAGCTCCTCCTGCCCCCGGGCCGAGCTGGGATTTTAAACGGAGCAGACAAGTTCACTCGGGGTTTTTTTGGTGTTGGGAGAAGGTGGATGCAGCCCCAGGCGGGAATTCTCCTGGCTCTGGGTTGCAGCAGGAGCTGGGGGTTTACTGGGAGAAGTGATTGAACCCGACATGCTCAGGGAAAATATATGAACTGCTTCATATGGGCATATTCAGGTGCAATTCTGGTTAAATTTTGGTCATGTTTTGGTTAAATTCTCGTCACATTCTGGTCATATTCTGGTTAAATTCTGGTTGTATTCTGGTTGCATTCTGATCATATTGTGGTC